CTGAACCCCACCCCCAAGGGTGAATGGGAGGGGTCACAGGCTTGTTCCATCCTGCCGGTGTTACTAACTGGTCTCTCTGCCTACTCAGCCCTTATCATAGAATCATAGAACGTTAGAGTTGGAAGGGACCCTGCAGGTCATCTAGTCCAACCCCCTGCACTCTGCAGGAGCACAGCCGAAAGAGAGCCCTGCGACATACCCGAAAGATGGTCGTCCAGCCTCCGCTTGAAAACGCCCAGCGAAGGAGCATCCACCCCCTCCCAAGGCAGTCTGTTCCACTGCTCAGCCATCTTACAGTTAGGAAGTTTCTCCCGATATTTTCTCCTGATATATTTCACTTTAGCGAGAGATGGTGTTGTGTGTAGCAGATCAGCTATCATCTGGGAGTTCAGTTCTTGTTCCTGCCAAGGACTATGTCCTGCTTGAGCTGTGTTGCGATTACAACAAGGTTAACATGTCTGGCTTTGAACAAAGGAGGCTCTATGTGGACGCAAATTGTTGCTGTTAATTTAATGATAGGAGCTCCAGGAATTGATTGGAAAGGACTACGATGAAGCCCAGCACCTTGAAGAAAACATGTCGTTTTCTGAATTGAACTAGAACGGCCACTGATCTTTTTTTCTGTCATAGGTTTAATATATTGGGGTGAATTTAACCATCCTCCCAATAGCTTTGCTCCAGCCTAAGAAGGCTCCCCCTGACAAAAGTGGTACTTCCTCCAATGGAAGTATCCTGGCCCTACTGCTGGACCTCCTGATGGCACTTGGTATTTTTGGCCACTGGGTGACAGAGTGTTGGGCTGGATGAGCCACTGGCCTGATGCAACATTGGCTTCTCTTATGTTCTTATGGGAGAGCCGCTTAAGTTGAAGGAAGGCTCAAATAGTACTGCTAACCTAAAGCGGTTAGGGTTCTTTAGTTTGGAGACACGATGACTGAGGGGTGACATGACAGAGGTTTACAAAATTAGGCTTGGGATGGAGAAGGCTGGGAAAGAAGTACTTTTCTCCCTTTCTCACAATACAAGAACTCGTGGGCACTCAATGGAATTAATGAGCAGTAGGCTTAGAACAGATAAAAGGAAGTACTTCTTCACCCTGTGGAATTCACTGCTGCAGGAAGTGGCGGTGGTGGTAGTTACAAGCATAGACAGCTTCAAGAGTGGACTGGATAAACCTATGGAGCAGAGGTCCATGAGTGGGTATTAGCCACAAGGTATAGATGGAACACTCTGTCTGAGGCAGTGATGCTCTGTGTTCTTGGTGTGTGGGGGGCAACAGTGGGGGTTTCTGGAGTTCTGGCCCTATTGGTGGACCTCCTGTTGGCACCTGGGTTTTGGCCACTGTGTAACACAGAGTGTTGGACTGGATGGGCCATTGGCCTGATCCAACATGGCTTCTCTTATGTTCTTAAGAGCTGAGGTCCATGAGTGGCTATTAGCCACAAGGTATAGATGGGGCACTCTGTCTGGGGCAAGTGATGCTCTGTATTCTTGGTGTTTGGGGGCAACAGTGGAGAGGACTTCTGGAGTCCTGGCCCCTCTAGTGGACCTCCTGTTGGCCACTGTGTGACACAGAGTGTTGGACTGGATGGGCCATTGGCCTGATCCAACATGGCTTCTCTTACGTTCTTATAGTGCTGTTAGCTGAGTCATCCTTCTTCCCCCTGAGCAGCAGCAGGGCCCGGATCCTGTAAAGTCCCCTGCTTCAGCGAGGGAAGAGTGGCTGTCAGGCGCACACTCCTGGGCCTGCTCAAGACCTCTGCCTGGCTTTCTGCCTTCTCCTTTCCTGAGGTCTTGGGGGAGAGTGTGGTGGGTCTGGAAGAGGGTCTCCTCATACTGAAGCCTCCTGTCTCGAGGGTCCTTCTGGCTTAGGGGCTCCTGGTTGTACTGGTGAAGGGTCCGTTCTGGGCGGAAGTTCTGCTTTTTCCAGGGCCTACCTTACAGGGAGTGTGCGCCAGCGTGGCTCAGGGATGGGTCATCTTCTGATGATGACTCTGTTGGATATTGTACCTCTGCATCCAAGAGGATCTGGGAGGGAAAGGGTTAAAGGAATTCTCTCACTGGGGTACACACTGGGCAGTTGTCCCCACCCTCTCATGGGTTAGATGTTGAGCCTCATTGGTCGCTGCTTGCCTTCTGTATTTCATCTTCTATACGACCTCTACTCTTCTTCTCTCTCTTACCTGGGCTTGGAGCCAATGCTCACTCTAAGCCTCTAAGCTGTGGAGTCTTGTGAGCAAAAATTCTACTTTGTGAGCTACTGGCCTTAAAGTTGTGAGCGAGCGATTTGGCTGCTGCATAAGTTAGTTTGCTCTGGAGCCGTCCTTCCTGAGCGGAGACAAAAATGTGTGAGCCGGAGGCTAAAAAACTGTGACCCTAGCTCACACTAGCTCAGCTTAGAGGGAACAGTGCTTGGAGCTGTAGTAATTTCACCTTTTTGAAGTTAACGTGTTCGCAATAAGTTGAATGTACCTACACGAATACGTCGTCTAACATGTGCTTCTATTTTTGTAAGTAAGATTTCTTTCTCTTGTTCCCATTGAAGGCAGGTCATCTTTGTCATTTGTCTGAACGCCATTTTCTCCATAACTGGGGAACGTGGAGGATCGGGGATACTTAACCCAATAGTCTCATCCTCCCGCGCTGATCCAGGGCTGCTCGTGACACTTTCCCAGCAGCGTGAGTCTCCTCATGATGGAGGGAAGCCACTGCCAGTAGCAGAGGTAGACCATCAAAAGATACCCAGCTTTCACAAGTAAACAGTAGCTTGTCATTTGTCTGAACGGCATTTTCCCCGTAACTGGGGAACGTGGAGGATCGGGGATACTGTGTGAAGCTTCTATGCTTCCAAGTCAAATGATTTTTATTTATTTTTTTTACATTTAACCCAATAGTCTCATCCTCCCACGGTGATCCAGGGCTGCTCGGGACACTTTCCCAGCAGCGTGAGTCTCCTCATGATGGAGGGAAGCCACTGCCAGTAGCAGAGGTAGACCACCAAAAGATACCCAACTTTCACAAGTAAACAGTAGACATCAGTCTACCGTAATACAATAACAATAAGTTGAAGATACCATAGGATTGGGGGTCGCAATCCAAAAACACTATCTGCAAATTCAAAATACAATTTGACGATCGTCGAAAATATCCAGCAGGAGACTCCTCTGTATCCTTTGAATATAATAGGGGAGTCTCTTCTTGGATATTTTCCACTATTGTCAACTTTGTATTTTGAATGTGCAAATAGTGTTTTTGGATTGTGACCAGTCCGTAATACAATAACAATAAGTTGAAGATACCATAGGATTGGGGGTCGCAATCCAAAAACACTATCTGCAAATTCAAAATACAATTTGACGATCGTCGAAAATATCCAGCAAGAGACCCCTCTGTATCCTTTGAATATAATAGGGGAGTCTCTTGTTGGATATTTCCCACTATTGTCAACTTTGTATTTTGAATGTGCAAATAGTGCTTTTGGATTGTGACCAGTGTTCCCTCTAAGCTGAGTTAGTGCGAGCGAGCGCAGTTTTTTAGCCTCCGGCTCACACATTTTTGTCTTAGCTCAGGAAAGATGGCTCCAGAGCAAACTAATTTATGCAGTAGACAAATCGCTTGCTCACAACTTTAATGTCAGCAGCTCACAGAGTAGAATTTTTGCTCACGAGACTCCACAGCTTAGAGGGAGCATTGATTGTGACCACCAATTCTGTCGTATCTTCAATTTATTGTTATTGTATTGCAATAGACTGATGTCTTCTGTTTACTTGTGAAAAGTGGGTATCTTTTGATGGTCTACCCTTGCGGTTTATATTTTTGCGTACTACATACGCTTGGGGTCCCTACTGTTTGACTGCCAGTAGCAGAGCAGATCTACAGGATTCAAGCCCTTATCATTCTCCCCACCCATCCCTGAGATCCCCGTTGCCCTGCCCGGCCGGAAAAACAGTCAGCAGGGGCAAAGGAAACAGCATGTTTGCTTTCCTTGCTGCCCGCCTCTGAGCAGATGAGCAATGGCTTACCTATTGCAGCCTGGAGTGAGACCATTTGTCAAGCTCTCCTGTGGCTGCTTGCGGTGAACACTTTCTCTGTCTCCGTTTCCTCGACAGCACCGCGAGCTTTCCTGCGAAGGAGGAGCAGGGCAAAGAGCCTGAAATGGGGCGCCAGAAGAAGCCGGGGAAGGAGGTCAAGCCCGTGAAAGAAATCCCCTTCGTGACGGTGGAGGAGTTCGAAAGCGTGCCTGCGTAAGTACGGCACATTGGGGCTGGCTCTGGAATAAGGACCCTCGCGGGTCACTCGCGGCACAACATGGCTCTGGGCCTACAGCCGGCAGTGCGAGTCTGTTACTTCCAGTTACCTTATTTACTAAAAAGGAAGATGGCCCTGGATGTAAGATGACCCCCTTAAAAATGCTGTATGCAGAAAAAATATTTTCAGGTGGGTAGCCGTGTTGGTCCGAAGCAGCAGAACAAATAAGGCCTTGCTAATCTTAAAGGTGCCACTGGACGCGCACAAAAATATTGTTATTGGACATGACCGTAGCTTGTATGCACTTGTAAGACGACCCGGGAGAGCCAGTTTGGTGTTGTGATTAGGAGTGTAATCTGGGAGAACCAGGTTTGATTCCCCACGCCTCCACTTGCAGCCACCTGGGTGACCTTGGGTCAGTCATGGTTCTCTCAAGAGCAGTTCTCGAAAGAGCTCTCTCAGCCCCACCTACCTCACAGGGCATCTGTTGTGGGGAGGGGAAGGGAAGGCGATTGTAAGCTGCTCTGAGACTCCTTCGGGTAGTAAGGTTCTTTTTCTTCTTTCTTTCTTTCTTTCTTTCTTTCTTTCTTTCTTTCTTTCTTTCTTTCTTTCTTTCTTTCTTTCTTTCTTTCTTTCCTTCTTTCCTTCTTTCCTTCTTTCTTTCCTTCTTCCTCTTCCTCTTCCTCTTCCTCCTCCTCCTCCTCCTCCTCCTCCTTCTTCTTCTTCCTGTTGAAAGAAACTTCATCTTGCATTTGAGTAAACATGGTAATGTGCTCACTTTCACTTCCTTTAAGTTTGCCTGGTCATTCTGGTGTTAAAATTGGGAGTTTTCCAGAAGTAGGGGGAGAGGGGAAGAAGTGGGGGAATGCGATAGCCGCTCCCGCAAGTTTCTTGTGGGTCCCCACTTGTAAATCTACTGTTTCTCACAAAGCGCAGTTCAGTCGGGTAGCCGTGTTGGTGTGAAGCAGAAGAACAAAGTTTGAGTCCAGTGGCACCTTTAAGACCAACAAAGTTTTATTTTGGGTATATTCTGGGTTCTTCATTGTGCGCACACAAAAGCTCATACCCAGGATAAAACTTTGTGGGTCTTAAAGGTGCCACTGGACTCAGACTTGGTTTTCACAAAAGCAAGTTTGCATATCAATAGAGTATTCAAGTATTGTAATCTAATGGCTCAAGTGGTTAAGACGCTGAACTGCAGGCTGTGGAAGGTCGGCAGTTCAGCAGTTCGAGACCCGGGTGCCGCATGGCGGAGTGAGCTCCCGTCTCTAGTTCCAGCTCCTGCCAACCTAGCCGTTCGAAAGCAAGAAATTGCAAGTAGATAAATAGGTACCACTTCGGTGGGAAGGAAACAGCGTTCCGTGTGCCTTGGTGTTTAGTCATGCCTGGCTTTCGAGCAAGGGAACCTTTACCTTTAACCTAATGGCAGAAAATGCAGCCCTCAATGTACAGCCACATTCTCTGTTGAAAACGGGGGGTGGGGTGGGGATCCTACGAAGCCATTGACATTTCCAGTTAACTAGTGACAGCGTCTGTCCTGAGAAGAATTCACCTTTTAAACTAGGTCTTAAAAATATTGGGACATCTGTTAGAATAAGGAGGTTGACTGTTCTTCAGGGGATGTGTCAGACTGCGAGTAGCTTTTCGTGCATCACAAAATGAGAAGTTCACTTCTCCTTTAGTGCTTCGTCCCACGCTGTCTTGAACTGGAATTCAGCACCAGAGCTTGTGGTGGTTTCCTGGAATGCTTTTCCGAACCTCCCTAGTTTCACAATGTTTGCCATGACTAGTCCCACCAAAGTCTCAGTGGCTCAGTAATAGAGCATCAGCTTGGCATGCCGAAGGTCCCAGGTTCGATCCCCGGTATCTCCATTTAAAAGGACCGGGCAGGAGGCGATGTGAAAGACCTTTGCCTGAGACCTTGGAGAGTGGCCAGTCTGAGTAGACAATGCTGTCTTTGATGGACCAAGGGTTTTATTCAGTATCAGGCAGCTTCATGTGTGCCCCCTGTTGCCAGTTTTTAATTCCTGATTCCCCCCCCCCTCCCCACCCAGTCTTCGTCTATCTGGGACTGTATTTCTTCCGCTTGTACAACTCCTACTAAAAGCAGCAGTATGGTTGCCAGCTCTGGGGTGGGAAATTCCTGGAGACTTGGGGGTGGAGCTTGGGGGAGGGCGTGGTTTGGGGAGGGGAGGGACCTCAGCGGGGTACAATGCTGCAGAGTCCACCCTCCAAAGCAGCCATTTTCTCCAGGGGATTGGACCTCTGCCATCTGGAGATGAGTTCTAATTCCCAAATAATTCCAGGCCTTATCTGGAGGTGGGTGACCTTAAGATGCAAGTGTCCTGCTGTCAAGCAATTATATCCATTCTGGATGCTTTATGTGAGACCTGACCTGGCTTGCCCGATCTCCGAAGCTAAGCAGGGTCAACTCTGGCTAGAATTTGGATGGGCAACCTCCAAGGAACACCAGGGTCACGACGGCAGAGCAGGCAATGGCAGACCACCTCTGAAAAGTCTCTTGCCTTAAAAGCAAGTCTAGCTCGCCACCTAGTGGTGCATAACGCTAAAAGAGCAAGAACCTGTGGCTGCCAGACAATCTTAGGATCTCCTGGCTATAGTATACACACTGCCATATGATAATCTATATATCTAATACCCACATCTAAAAATCTAAATTCGCACATCTGGGTCACGTCGAGGGTTGAAAAAATATACGGGGGATACTTTAATCCCCCCAAAAGTAAAAGAGCGTTTCCTGTGCATGCACAGAGAACGCCCTTACCATGGAACTGGCGACTGGGCTCGCTGCCATGGCTGCTGACGGGGGCAGGGGGAGAAACCTTGGTGGGCTCACCTGCGGCCGCCTCCTCCTCTTCCTCCATGAGGAAGCTCCTGGGAATACACCTCCTCCCGTGAGTATTGCGGGTCCCTGCTTCTTGTGATAATAATAATACTCTAAAACACCATCTTGTCCAAATCAAAGCTGCTTCTCAGTAAACTGCTGGATTATCAGGGCTGGCTGCCGCCCTTTTGAAGATTCCTGCATGCTTAGTGCTTTGGACCTGAGGGTCTTTGCGAAGTGTTTTCAACATCCCCAAACAAGCTTGTGGTCACAGGAAAACTGGAGGCAGAAAATTTTTTGTTGGCTATTGAAATGTGGATGGCCCGAGCGATGATGCCCTCTGCCCATCTCCAGGCTAAAAGCCCTGATAGCTGCTTGCTCAAAACTTGTTCTTCTCAACTGATACCTAGAATTTTATTTTCCTCTGTGAATATCTGGGGAAACGTAAATTCCCTCTGCCAGCGGTATGGTAGCACCCCCTGGTGGTGGGAAGTGTTGCTACTGCATGCCCGCACCTTTTTGCATTAGAAGGGATCTTGTGCATACCTAGGAAGAGATGTTATCTGGCCAAATTATATTGACTACGCACTGAGTGTGTTTGTGATGTGCATGCATATGAGACCCAGATCAGGCCAATACCTTGCTTTGCTGTGGAATACATGAAGCACATGGGAAAGACATGAGTAAAATTCAGATACAATAATGCAAAGTATGAAAGCTGTTCACAATTACAATATGGCCAGCTACTTATGGAGGAGCTGTGGCTCAGCGGCAGAGTATCTGCTTGGCATGCAGAAGGTCCCAGGTTCAATTTCCAGCATCTCCAGTTTAAAAAGATCTGGTAGTAGGTGATGTGAAAGACCTGTTTTTCAAGAACAGCTGTGCCATAACTATGGCTTGTCCAAGGTCATCCAGCAGGTGCAAGTGGAGGACTGGGGAATCAAACCCAGTTCTCCCAGATTAGAGATTAAGAGCTCATGCACTTAACCACTATACCAAACTGGCTCCCAGAAGGTCCCAGGGTCATTCCTCAGCACCTCCCGTCAAAAGGATCAGGTAGCAAGTGATATAAAAGTCGTCAGCCAGAGACCCTGGAGAGCTGCTGCCAGTCTGAGTAGTTGATACTGACCTTGATGGACCAAAGATCAGGACATCCAAAATATGAAAAGTTTAATAAAAAGTCTCTATGTGTTCTGTCCAAGCATCAGTTTGAGCAGGGATACAAAGAAAAGGTGAAAACGTGCAGTCATCTCACCATATACTTGGTACTTATCGGGGGAGGGCGGGGTATAAGTACGAAAAATAAATAAATAAATAAATAATCCTAAACGGTGTTTAATTAGGACAGGCCAGGATTACTTGCAGTAGTTTAAAGTTCAGCCTTTCAGCACTTTTTATAGGGAGGAGCCGTGGCTGGGGGGAAGAACCTCTGTTTAGCATTCAGAAGGTCCCAGGTTCAATCCCTGGCAACTCCCATCAAAAGGATCAGGTAGCAAGTGATGTGAAAGACCTCGTCCTGAGACCCTGGAGAGCTGCTGCCAGCCTGAGTAGCCAATACTGACCTTGATGGACTGATGGTCTCATTCCATATAAGGCAGCTTCATGTGTTCGGGGGAGGAATCGCCCAGCAGGAGCCAAGTAGGAAGGCAGGTTGGTAAGGGAGAAGCCTCAGGAGCAGAGGTCCATCTAGTGAGAGCAGAAAGGTGACTTGGATGTGCTAATAGGTCCCAGAGGGTGATGAGAATGCGTGAATGCAAGAAGCAGCCGTGCTTTGCTCCTGAAGCCAAGGGTGTAGTATGCCATAAGGGAAATGTACAACGGTGGGAAGATGTGAAGGACCAAACAAGGGCAACTCTGAATGTCTGAATGCAGGATTTCCTAGACCCAGAGAGCGAAAACCTGCTGTATATGGGGTTCAGCCGTACCATTCCCCCATGGGATGGAAAGCAGGAGAGGGGGTGCCAGCCCTGGCTCTTGGTATTCCCCTCCCCCCATGCAAGGAGAAATAATGCCGAACAGAGCCTTGGCTGTATAAAGATGGCGTTTTGTCTAATAACTTTAACACTCTGATATGTATTTATCACACCCTTTCTCCGAGAAGTTCAGGGCAGTGTACACGGTTTTCCCTTCCCCATCATATCTTCACAATGA